GTTTTTTGTAGGGTTTTAGGTTAAGGGGTATGGGCCTAAGAATTATGGGCTTGGCAATTGTGGGCTAGGTCCAAAATTAGGCCTAAAGATGGGTTGCTCGAGCCCAAGCTCTATTCTTTCGCTGCGAACGAGATTAAAAATACGGGCTCATTTGTTAATTATTCCTACTATTCAAATAATTATTAAAATAAAACTAACCATTAAAACAAATCTATTTTTGGTATTTTCAAATATCATATTAAAATAAAAATACGATACTATTTTTATATATTTTTTAGGATTTTTCTTTAAGATTAAAATGACTACAAAACATTAATGAACCTATTTTGTGATTTTTTGCTTTCTTGTAATAAAATAACGTAAAAGAGTCAAAATTACTTAAAATATCTATATTATGCCTAAATTAAATATTTACGCGCTAAAATATGAAAAATCTTGAGGAGGGGCAAAAATCACATGTCTACACGCGCCACCATTGTTGGAGTTCTATGATTGGACGTTGGTTGAGATTGGTAATTTTGTTCTTGAACAGTTTTTGGATGGGAAGATGACTGTTTTCCAGTCATTATTTTCTATATGTGAGTGTGTGTGTGCATAGCGTGTGTGGTGTTACTGGAACTATTTGATGTTGAAGGTTTATTAGGTAATGGTATATACATAGTAGTGGTGGTGGGTGTCATTGGAGTTGATGCTGAGAAACATAGGTTTTTTTTTATGTGTCCAAGTCTACCACATAATGTACATAGCATATTGAACCCTTTATAGACTAGTTGTTGTTTGTGGGATCCAATATAGACATGTGTTTTGAGAGGTATTTCTAGCGGAACATCGATACATATTCATGCATATCGACCCCGTGTAGTTGCTGACGTGCAGGTATCAACTTTGAGTAGGGATCCAATTTTCTCCCCAACACGTTGAAGTATTTCTAAATCATAAAACTCCATAGGTAGTTCAGGTAGTCTTAACCAAATGGCGGTGTATGTGAGTTGTGAGTTAGAAGCTATGAATTTGGGTTTCCATTTGCGGACGGAGACAAAGTGATTAAGTACGAACCAAGGTCCATTATGTAGGGCAATGAACATATTTTCTTCCTTTTGGAATTTCACTAGGTAGAAATCACACCCTAGATCGATTAGAGGTAGTTCCTCCGTGGGTTTCCATAGAGCTGTGAGTTTTGTGCGTGTTGGTGCCCCACTTTCCTGCCATACACTTTAACAATAACGGAATATTTTCAAGGCAAGTATAAGCGTGATTTATCGGCGGAGGTAAGTGGTATAAAGGTGTTTCTGTGTAGTTCATTTATTGTTGATTTGTCTATCAAGTCGAGAGGGGAATGTATTTGTTGGCATGTGTTGGGGTAGGAAGTGAATTGATTGCTGCTGAGCAAAGTTTGGGCAAAGGTGAGTGGTCATGGTGTGGTAGTAACTAGTACGTTGGTCTGTGGACGGATTGAGTGGTGGGTCAAGATGCATGGAACTTAGGTCCGGTGGTTCTAATGGTGGAGAGGTGGTGATGGTGTTCATTAGTAGAGAGAAAATTTGGTCTTATTTATGTCCTATTTCCCGTTGAGTTTTACTTCTAAACATATACAATAGTGTTAAGAAAACCAAGACTTTCCAAAGGTTTCAGTTGGAAAACAATATTTATAATTAGCTTTGTCACAAATTTACGATCTCTTCCTTTGTTTGTGTTCTTTTAGTTCAGGTCTTAAATCTAAATATGGTTGGAATTTAAATACTAAAAAGAACAAAAAACGTTAACCTAATCAAATTTTAAAATCAAGGGGAAAGTACACAAATCCATTTTTAGACCTATTATTTAGGGATTAGTCAGTATTTATTTTGTCCTGAAAATTTGAACTAAAATTTTAAATTTCAAGATTTTGTGTCGAAAAACTAAAATTCAGGACTCATTGACTAATTCCTAAATAGTTGTCCTCTAAAATGGCTATATGGTGTCATTTTTACAATTAAATATGGGTCATTTTTATATACACTTATTTTTGGGGCCACCATTGAAGTTATACCCACATTGCACAAATTCTTGTAAATTGTACCAGCTCGAATATAAAGTAGTTCAATCTCTACAATGCACTTCAGAAATTCGAATCTTAAGTAGTTCAGTTTATCGAATGCAACTTCAGATTTCGAATATTAAATTCTGAACATAAACTTGTTCTTCAAATTTTATCAAATTATCAAAATAACAACATAATTAACAAACTCATTTTGCAACTAAAAAGAAGAAGAAACTCTAAACACAAAGAAGAAGAAAACAACAGTCAAGAAGAAGAGAAAACTGTATGTATCTGAAGTTATCAAAAAATTGGATATCAGTTAAAAATTTTTTTTAAAAAAATAATTATAAATTCAATAGGTCCCACAAAACTAGGCTCCACATGAAAATTTCTTATTAAATTTTATTCGGCCCATTAAATTTTCACCAAGAGTACTATGGGCCAACTGATAGCCATTTCTGCTGAGTGGGCTTTGGTTCTATCCATTGCTCAAGTCACAGCCTCAACCGACTCATGTTCTTTCCATGGGAGAAGTTAAAAAATAGTCAGATTTACAAGTGGTCATTCAAAAACAGTCAGAATTTTAAAAATAATCAAATTTAATCACTTTTTATGTAAAGATAAATCTGAACGAAAACACTGTCAAAATTCGGAAAATACTCCAGTATATTATACTGGAGTTCCAACGCAAGTATAATGGAACTCTAGCATATTATACTGGAGTTCCAGCATAAATATACTGGAAATTCAGCATAATATAATGGAGTTCCACTATAAGTATGCTAGAATTCCAGCATAATATACTGGAGTTCCAACAAAGTATACCGGTCCAGTATAATAATTTGGAAGTTCATACACAGGTGCTCAAATCTCCAATATATTATACTGGAACTTTCCGCGTGTTGGAGTTCCAGCATAATATGCTGGAAGTTCATACACAGGTGCACCGAACTCCAGTATATTATGCTGGACCGGTCTCTGTTGCAGTAAAATAGTGGCTATTTTTCAATGACTTGGCAAACGCTGACTATTTTTGAATGACCAGTCCGAAAATTGGCTAGCCCATGCTATTTTTACTCTTTCCATTTTGCTCTTGGGTATATATTACTATTACTATTATTATAAACTATTTTACCTGGTTAATTATGTTTTGCTAATTTTCAAAACTAAATGTATCTATTTTACAAATTATATACATTCCCGCGACCCATGCTACTCTTTAAGATTTTTCACATATATTTATGATCTAAGTAAAAATATGTGAATTTAATTGAATTCTTCAATATAAGTCCTTCTCTTTTTTTTTTTTATTTAAACAATCTAACCCTTAAAATAAAGTTAAAATTGTTTAAAAGCCCAACTCACCATTGCACCAGAAAGCAAAGACTACGTCGACAAAAAACAGTACTATCTAGAAAGATGATAGGAGTATTATAGGAGTACTATCTAGAAAGATGATAGGAGTATTATATAGCGACTCTTAAAATAATAGCCGAATACATATATGTATATATTATTATATACAAAAATTATACAGTGTTATGTCAAATTAAATGAAGCATCACAGTGCAGAGGGTATACATAGGCCTCTAAAAATGATTATCCAGTATAATGTTATCTCCAACATTGGTATATATTCATTTAAATTATCCAATCTTTTTATGCAGCTTTACCCATATTCCAGTAAAAGTATTTCTAGTTATTATAACTTAGCGTTTATCCTATTTGTTGGAAGTCAAACAACCAAACACGTTGAGGTGAAACGTTACTTCATGTACGAAAAATTGTCACACAAACTGATTAATTTCATATTATATTTACTTACGCAGAGATTGACAACAGGTAGCAAAGCGGACCTACAATTGGATTTAATTGATCCAATATTGTGTTTATAACATAGTACCATACATATACTTTGGGGGTACGTGAAAATGTTACTATCGATAATAAATTTTGAAAACTCATAATATCAATTTTGAATCCATTAAGTTTAAATCATAACTTTGTTTCTGGTCAGCTGATGTCATGTCTACTAGAGTGGACTTTTTTTCCAAGTAGAGTGTGTGATTTCACCCCAACACCAACTTGAGAGGGAGGGTGACAGAGAGTAACAATATTTATATTTTCTGTATTTGTATAACAATTTAGATGAGATAAAAAATGGTTACATTTGTTAATTACCTGGGAATAGTTAGCTGGTTTGTTGAGTTTGTTAGAAGCAACATGTTCAATTAGTGGAGTTTGTTACATTTTTTTTTATTTCCTGTACTACTCATGTGGGCAATATTACAAATACAACACAATAATTTCTCTAACAATTTGCCTTGATTTCACGAATTAATGTTAACAGCTTCCTCTGATTAATTTCCTCTCTTTTGTTCTTTGCAGTTCTATTATTATTTTTATTTCTTTTTTGCGGAAGATTTGTTTGTTGTGAACGGGGTTAAGGGTAAGTGATTGTTACTGAAAATTAGTAAATGAAATCATGGTGATCGTCTAAGGATAATGAGTTTTTTTTATTCAATGAGAATTACTCGTTAATTTATGACCATAAACGAAGTAGTCTAGAAAGAAAAAAATAACGTGCTAAATTAAAAGAATTTTTTTTATAATAATTCAATATCCCAAATTTACTGGTCTCGTCTAATTCGAATTCATGCCGTTTTATATATTAACTATAAGAACTGTTAAAAATTAACTACAAGTTAACTCTCATTCGTAATATAGTGGATTAGCAACCTGAAAATTTAAATAAGGCTAGTAACTTGGTACATCAGGTAAATTTGCAAAAAAAAATAAAATAAAAAATAAAAAAATAAATAATACAGCTATAGCATGATCGTATGAATGATAAGAGAACTTGCCCAAGAATGCTTAATAATTCAAGTATAATCATTCATTAAGCACCTAATTATGGAAATTTTGCTACATATAAATTTGTCTCTCATTTTCTGATTTCACAACATTGAAAACTGCAACTATGAAGACATTCAAGAGAAATAATAATGTTTTTGTGTCACGTTGTACTCTTATCTTGTTACTTCCTTTTTGCAGGTTAATTTATCTTTCCCCTAAATTACATTAAGTTATAAATTACATTATATTTTCCTTATATTTTAAATGACAATATGTTTGCAGGATTTCAAGTGTATGCCATAGGCTATGACTACTATTTCACTTCAAAGGCAAGATTTATAAGAAATATTTATATGTATTTCCCTGTATATAAAAGTCCTTTTTCTAAAATATGTTTTGGATTGATGTTTTATTTTATTTTTTATTTTTTATTTTATTATTATTATTATTATTATTATTATTTATGTTTCTATAGTGTTTGGAAAGCCCTCTAAATCCACAATATAGTGGAGGAATTGCTATAAATCCAGAACTCAATTATGGATTAAATGGATGGACAAAATTTGGAAGTGCAAGAATTGAGACAAGAACATCAAAAGAAGGCAATGTCTTCATTGTTGCTTCTCATAGAACACAACCATTTGATAGGTTTTCTCAAAGATTTTATGTTGAGAAAGACAAAATGTACACTATTTCAGGTACAGTCTTTAATTTCCTTTATTAATTTAAATAAGATTATAAAATTTCTCAAACAAAGTGTATGACCTGCAACAACATATAACTTGTCTATAATAAGTCTAACTCGGTGTTCAATAAAACTAAATAAACAACCGACTACGCATAAAGTACAGGTTAAATTACACTAATAATGTAAAAATATTTTTACATTGTCAGTATAATTAAGTTAAATCAATTAAATGAATTAGAGTTGTTTAGTTTGGATGAATTAATTTTATCTCTGTCATTTTGGTATAGCATGAATACAAGTGAGCCAAGGAAATGCTGATGTAGTAGCAAAGATTAGAACACAAGATGGTGATTTTCCAACAGGTTGGAATATTGCAACATCTGGCTGTTGGTCTATGCTAAAGGGTGGTTTTAATGGAAATTTTTCTGGCCCTGCTGAGCTATATTTTGAGGTTAATTTATTTGGAATTGAAATTTTTTATGCCTTACATTTCCAACTTTGTTAATATAAGTTCTTTTGACGACTAAAAAAAAAACTTTGTTAATTCTATTTAGTACTAAATGATTAAATGTTTTTTACCATTGAGGTCATGGTTTCGAGCCGTGGAAACAGCCTCTTACAGAAATGCAGGATAAGGCTGCGTACAATAGACCTTAGTGGTCCGACCCTTCCACAGACCCCACACATAGCGGGCTTAGTGCACCAGGCTACCCTTTTATTTTGCCTTGTTATAATTTGTTCCTTTCTTCTTCTTTTTTGGTTGACATTGACATACATGGTTTTATTTTCAGAGCAAGGAAATTAGTTTAGTTGAATTATGGGTAGATAGCATCTCCATAAGGCCATTCACCAAGTTAGAGTGGAAATCCCATCAAAATCAAAACATTTAAAAGGTGAATAAAAGAACAATTTTTCTAAATATATGTCACTAGACTTTGAACTCTTGTTATCAAAATATAATTATTTTAATTGGGATTTGAAATGAAATATGCAGACTAGAAAGAGTAAGGTGAAATTACAGGCTGTTGATTCTCGGAGCCAACCACTAGCAAATGCTACAATCTCTATCAAACAGATAAATTCTGCATTTTCAATTGGCAATGCTATAAGCCCTCACATATTAACCAATGTAGGCTATCAAGAATGGTACAATTCCAGTTTCAAGCTAACAGTTTTCGAAAACGAAATGAAGTGGTGGTTTACTGAGCCAATTCAGGGCAAAGTAGACTACCATTTGGCCGATGGCATGCTTCAATATGTCAAGAATTATAGCATGTTAGTCCGCGGACACAACATAGTTTGGGAAAATAAAGATCAGTTACCATCTTGGGCGAAAACGTTGTCACCTCCCGTTTTATCAGCTGCAGTTGAAAGGAGATTTTACTCGTTAGTGCCAAGATATCAAGGCCAAATGATGCATTGGGATGTTGACAATGAAAACATCCATTTTTCATATTTGGAAAGTCAGTTAGGCGAAAACGCCACGGCTTATTTTTACAAGAAGGCTCATGATATGGATAGCAATGCTATTTTGTTCTTGAATGAGTATGGTACTATTGAAAATCCTGATGATATGGTTGCAAATCCAGTAAATTACTTAGCCAAGATTCAGGAAATTAGATCAATGGGGTATAATGGACCTCTTGGAATTGGACTTCAAGGTCATTTTGATACTCCAAATATACCTTATATTAGAAGTGCACTTGATATTCTTGCAACTGCAGATTTGCCTATATGGATTACAGAATTAGATGTTTCAAGCAGACCCCTTCAGGTAAACCTAGCCCTCACTTAACTTGTGATGATTTATTTTATAGTTCAAGTTATCGAATCAAACTTACTATATATATAGACACGTAGTTGTTATTGTAGGTCACTTGTGATTACTTACTTTATTTTTCAAATTATCAAATTAGACTTACCATAGACACGTAGTTGTAATTGTAGGTCACTTAACCTGTATTATTTACTTTATTTTTCAAGTTATCAAATCAGACTTACTATAGACACGTATATAGTTGTTATTGTAGATCACTTAACTTGTGACTATTTACTTTATTTTTCAAGTTATCAAATCAGACTTAGTATAAACACGTTGTTGTTATGGTAGGTTATTTAACTTGTGATTATTCCTTTATTTTTCAAGTTATCAAATCAGACTTACTATAACCACATATATGTATTGTAGGTCAATTTAATTGATGGCATAAAATGTATACATTATCTGTACATGCATAAAAGTTAAACTTGTCATTATTATTATTTATTTATTTTTGGATTTTTGGAGTGCAGGCAGAGTATTTGAATGACATAATGTGGGAACTTCATGCACATCCAGCAGTAAGTGGAATAATAATTTGGTCACCATGGCAACCACAAGGATGTTATAAAATGTGTTTAACTGATAATGATTTCAAGAATTTGCCAACTGGGGATGTTGTGGACAATTTTATGAGGCAATTAAGTCATGAGGGCTTAATTGGGACTACTAATGATAATGGCTATTTTGAGACTTCATTATATCATGGAGATTATGAAGTAATAATCAAACATCCAACTACAAGAGATCAGTCCTTTACTCATAGTTTTAATGTAGCAAAAAGCCAGAAAAGTAGTACCCTAGTGAAATTATCTGCTTAGGAAATCAGTCCTTCTCTTAATTCTATTTGATTAATAAAAATTTCGCTTCATTTTCAAATAGGCTTGTTTCATAATTTTGCTTAATTTATTTTATTTCTGTTACTTAGCAGATCGCTTGTGTAAAATTTTCGAGAATGGTAACACATTTATTTAAATGACATCATTGGAAAGACGAAATGAATAGTAATTTGATTGTTAAAAAGAAAGAATAATTTCTTTTATATCAAAAGTTTCACAGAAAACAAACTATTCCCGTATAAATCTGATATTCATTAATTACATAAACAGAAAAGAATACACAGCACGAATTACTGTTTCTTTGAATCAGAAATAACGGTACTACACATATATACATGCATGCAATCATGCATATATACATAATATATACAACCATTTCAACTCGAAACATTATAGTATTATGATTACGAAAAGCAAGCCTTAACCAAGTAAAGTTTCTCTCTTTTACAAAAAAGAGAGTAAAGTTTCTCTTTTTTTACAATATTTAAATAACCGATGAAAAGGTAACAAATGAAAAGGCATGGAATGGGCTGGCTACCATATAACTTTGTGCTATTTTCATTTCCTTCCTCTGAACTTTTTGTATGGTATTATTATATCTATAGAGTAATGTTCTGAGTATAGATATGGTATAGAACTTTTATACTATCAGGTTAAGTGAACCTATAATAATAGGTAACTTTTCATATCAAGCGTGATCTTAATATCCTTAAAATATAGAATTATAATAACTTGGTAAAATCAGCTAAATTGCATTATTGATGCAAAAATTTTTTACACTGTCAGTGTATATAACTTAAACTCGAAATTAGAAACAAAACTTAAGAAGCAAGAACACAACCATGCAGTTGTGCTTAAATACTCTCAGTCACCACAGAAAGACATCTCTCTCTCACACACACTCTTTATTCTCAATTTCAAACATGGCCAAAAAACTCCATTTTCTTCTTACTCTCATAGCCATTTCCCTTTCTTTCTTCTTTCATGTAATCTCCTCAGATTCTTCAATCGATTCTTTCGTCTACGGTGGCTGTTCACAAATAAAATACACACCAAACTCACCTTACGAATCAAATCTCAACTCCCTTCTCACATCCTTTATTAACTCAGCTACTTACTCATCTTACAACAAATTTAGTATCATGGGATCAACAAAACAAGACATATTATACGGCGCATACCAATGTCGCGGCGATTTATCGATGCCAGATTGTGCTACTTGTGTAGCCAAAGCAGTGAGCCAAGTTGATAAACTTTGTTCACAAAACTGTGGTGGAGCTTTACAATTACAAGGGTGTTTTGTAAAGTATGATAATACTTCATTTCTTGGTGTTGAGGACAAGACTTGTGTGTTGAACAAATGTGGGCCGTCTAATAATGGGCTTGATGAGGATTCTATGGGCCGTGTTTTGACAAGTTTAAATGGGGCTGGTGGGCTTTATAGAGTTGGTGGGTCATTAGATGTACATGGTGTGGCCCAATGTGTTGGTGATTTGAGTAATGGCCAATGTCAAGATTGTTTGTCAGAAGCAATCGGGCGGCTGAAAAGTGAGTGTAGTGGAGCAGCGTATGGGGATATGTTCTTGGGGAAATGTTATGCTAGGTTTACTACTAGTGGAGCTCATTTTGATGCCAAATCTAATCATGGTAAGCAAAATTTCTAGAGATTTAATTTACACACGCCTATTGTAAAATCTTTATATTATCAGTATAATAAAAAAAAAGACAATCCGATTGGACAAAACATTCTGCATTCATGTAGAATCGGGGGAGGGACGCACCTCAAGAGGTATTGATGTAGATAGTTTACCATAATGCAAGCATTAGTAGCTGCTTCCACAGCTCAGAATCTATGACCTATATACATTGTCAATAATTCTTTTAACACTATAAGTTTAATATATAGCTATTATAATAGATTATTTACTTTGTTTTCTGAATCACCAAATTAGATTCATTATAGGTAGTTACTTATTTTCATAAGTCATTTCAATCTAACAATGTCGAAATAATTTATATTGTTAGTGAATAAAAGTTAAATACTTTTTTAAGACTTGTGTTGTATGTTATGTTCTCTCTTAAGGGATCGAGTGATTCATACTCTTAAGAGTGATTTGAATCTTTTACCTATAGAGAATAAGCGAATTAATGGGCTTATCGCAAAATTATTTTATACGTTAAATACATTGTACAACAATGTGTTGATTTTTATACATTTCATAGCAATGAAATATATGTAACTTTTCAAGAGAAATCGATATATAATTCAATATGCAAGATTCATATCAATTGATTATTCAACCTGTTTTTTGGATTTCGCATGTCTAAATTACTAAGTTATAACTAGAACAGAATGGGAGGATTTCTGGTTTTACAATGCTGATATATATGATATGAATTACAGAGATTCAAATTATTGTCCCATTACGTGAATATATGTAGATCTACTATATAATCTCTGTGCCATTTTATTCATCGCAGGTTCTCATTTTGAGAATGAGAAGACATTTGCACTTATAATTGGATTATTAGCTGGGGTTGCTCTTCTCATCATTTTCTTAACTTTCATAAGAAGAATATTTGGACGAAATGGTAAGAACTCACTTTTTCTTTCTTTTTCCTTTCTTTTTATTTTCCCTTTTGATTGTTTTAATATTTTCCCTTTAAAATTTCTAAAAGAGATGGTAACAACTTTTCAGTTTTTACCTTTCACCTTTTGCCATTTTTCCTTTTTTTTTCTTCTTCTTCTTTTAGATCCTTTTTAAATTCATATACAAGTGTTTTTACTGTCATTTACGTATTGACTTTAACTGATTCCTTTTTCTGTTTTTAACTTTTTGCAGGTAAATAAAGAATACGTACATGATCAACGTCAAATTGCATTCTTTTTGTTTTCTTTATTTTTATGTTGTCTTTTTTAAAAAAGAGGATTAATGCATAGGCTTAACTGAAATGGAGATTATGAAGTAAAGAGGAAGTGAAGGGAAGTGTACCATAAAAGTGAAAAGAGAAAAAGGCTAAGATTCCGCTCTTAACTTAATTGCCTCGCAAAGAAATTGCATATGCTTTTGTGAACTTGTATTTTGATATGTTTTCATGTTATGCACTTTTATTATAATGAAATTCTTTTGTTTTATTATTTCAGCAATAACATGAACGAACTAGTTTTTTCATTATTTTGATTCACGATTGTGTCCGTTCCGATGAGTTCCTCAAAAGTAATTACACTAATCATCAATATATCCATAGAAAAAGGCCAATAATAACAATTAACAAACAAAAATAAAATCCAATTAGACCTAAAGGTGAAGGATCATTAAAAAACATAATTAGAGCTAAAGAAATCAAGTACATTTTACTAGGGGTGTTCGTCGATCGGTATGGTACGATATTTAGATATTTCGGTTCGGTATTCGGTTTCTTAAAATACTATACCAATATCATATCTAATTAAATTTGATATGGTTTGCCTTTTTTCCGTCTAGTTTTAAATTATTTGGTCTGGTAACTTTAGTTTATTCAGCTCGAATATTAACTAGTACTGCATAAAGCCATAGATTATAACATTCTTAAGTAAGGTACTCACAAATACGAAAATAAAAATATTATAATTATATAATGAAAATAAAGATGAACTAAAAAAATGCCAACCCTAAACGGGAGAAAGGTTGAAATGTAAGTAGGCAACAAAAAAGAAGAAGGGAAAAGGCAAGTATAGTAAGAAAAAATGTGGTAAATTTAAAGAAAACTATAAAAATAACGAAAAGCAAAGTTTAGAACATTAATATTTATGTTATAATCAATAATATGTGTATTACATAATTTAGTATATATTTCGTTACGGTATCAGTATTTCGGTATTTTTATTTTTAAATATCAAATACTGTACCATATACCAATATTTCAAAAAATTTAAATCAAATATCAATATATTGAATACCAAATACCAAATTTTTTGATTTAGGTATGATAACTCGATATTTACCAAAATATGCACCACCCTACATTTTACTCTCAAAATTAAAATAATAATGGACACAAGGGTTATCTTTTTTCCCTTTTGTTACACTGTACGTTTAAGACTTTAAGTCCCCCTTTTATCCTATTGATTCAGCAAGCTGGTTCTTTACATTTTAGCAATGAGTTAATCAAATTTGCATAACATGTATCGTACTATATTCAAAAGGCTTGAATTCCAATACGTTAACATCTAAAAATGGAGGAGGTAAATATAATTGGTAGTCCCGTAAAAATATTAACATGTTATCGCAGGTTAAAAATACTTAAAATTGCTGGAAAAAAAATAAATTACACTGTAAGTTTATATTACTCAAATTTATTAACATTCTGGTAGAGTTATGTTCAATCCACGATATCACAATTTTATTTATTACAAAATAAAGTGCTTTTTACCATACTTTTTCTTCATAACAAAACAGTACACTCCAAAAGAAAATTAGGAGTACATCATTGGAGTGTCATATTGCCTTTTTATGTTTTACCAATACGACAAATCAAGAGAGGAAGGTCGGTGGCTTTAACACAAGGGAATGGACAATATAAGTGGAGTACATGTTAGCTTTTTATTAAATAAATAAAGTGATTCATTTCCCAATTAGTTTACATAAAGGCGAAGCAAGAATTATTCTGTATATTCATGTCCATGCATGAGCTTTAGCGTATATATACTTTATAGACAAATTAAAGAAACATTTTGGAGGAGCAATTAATGTTGGGAATAAACCCCGTAAAAATAATATTCACGGTATTAGTGATAAACGTGGACCACTAAGTTATGGTTGTAAAAATGCAGCAATAATGACACCAAGATTTTACGTGGAAACCCTTCTGAATAAGAGAAAAAAACCACGGCCAAGAATAGCAACTGATATCACTATAGCGTGGAATTTTACACTGTGTAGTAACGAGTACAAATACTCCTAAGACCACTACACCCTCAAAAGAAAAAAATACTCTTTTGCCTTTTTCACCTCACTACAATATCTCTCACACTCTATTTTTCTTCACATACTATTTTCT